AAGTATTGAGCAAGTCTTAAGGTAGTTTTCCTACTACTTATAACAACATTATCCTAAATTTGTCAAAAGATATGTCCCTTTATTTGGTCATTTGAAGAGGTTACATTTTATGTATTTTTTACATATAGGGCTGTTAGTTACATGATTATTTTAGTATTATGTCATGCATAAATTATTTCATGGTCAGCTCATTTGTTATTACTTTAGTTCATAGTGTTTTACCTTTTCATTGCGAATGGATTGTTCATTTCTTGTTAGGGGGTATTATGATAGTCAACAATTGATTGTTTCGCGTCATATCATGATATTCAATCACGTGACCACGGCGAGAATTACAAACTCGGTTTTACCTCCTTGGCCTTTAACGATAGTTAAATTGATTAGTAGTAATAGTAAAGAGATTTAATTTGAATATTTTTAAAAAGATAAAAAACAAAGAATATAGAATAGAAACAAACAAAAATATTCAAATACAACAAACAAAATAAACAAGAATTAATACAAAACACAAAAAATATGAGATTGTAATAAATAAAAGTAAAGAAAACCATATAAAGCATAGCGAATTCTAAATATAATTTTATTAAATATACCAAATGAAAATCGTATAAGCCAATTATGAAGAAAATTGATTGAATGAAGATGGATTGACAAAGCCATTTGAGAAATTAATGATATCAGAAAAAAGAGTAGAAAAATTAATGAAAGAATCAATTGCTATTGATATTGAAGGTAATATATAACTATTTATTGAGGAAAGGCTAAAGAAATATTTTGAATATTTGTATATTCGATCATGGAATGACTGGAATATCATTAATTAATAGAGAATCATAAATTCATAAATTTTGATTGAATAATATAACTGATTATTGAAGAGGCTTAGTTTTATATCATTAAAGACTTTTTATTATCGCCAGAACTTAAGTGTGAACATTTAGAGAATACATCTTCTTTATTAATACTTTTAATAGATGAATCGTGGACATAGTGAGAATAGCGATGGAAGATGTGTGTAAAGTTAAACCTATTGATTGTAGAACTAATAAATGCATAAACTTACATCTCGCCAAATCAATCTACTTCCGAACCTTATTTAGTGTATTAGGGTTTTGAGTGCACATGTGTGTTTGGTGCTGCGAAAGGTGATTTGAGAGAACGACAGTCCCGGCCGTTTAGCCACAATAATAGTTACATTTGTGAAGTCAAAGATCTTTTTTTTTTTTTTTTTTTTTTTTTTTTTTTTTACTTTAAGTCAGAAATCTCTGGATGGCTTAAATTGGGTGTAAACTTCGATAAAAGGGTGTGATTGTGAGGCAAGAAAAGAAAGAAAGGTGTGAATATGAAGTTGCACTGTACGTATAGAGATACATTTTTGATGATTGTTTTGTGAGTTAATAATTCTCGGATAATTAGGTTATAGCAAAATGTGAAGTCGGTTGTCAAAATTAATACTCCTACTTCAAACAAACATTATACAAAAAGGTACGGACTTCTCTTACCAAATACTAACCATATTCCTTCCTACAATAATAAAAATTTTGTTCTGAGGGACGAAGTAAATTTAAAAATCCGAGCGATTGACGCTTACCCTCATCCAAGAAATTGAGAAGTGCCAGTGACTTTAATATTAATTAATGATCAAAAGTTGAATACGTTTGACCAGATGAGGGGGGAAGTATTTTTGCACCAGAATTGGTTAACCAAGCAAAATGAATAGAAACTTCTTTATGAGTCGAGAAATATGGAGTTCACGAAAGAAAGAATAAAAAACTTCGGAAGAAAAGTGTGCTATCTTACCAAATAAATTCTTGCCGTTATATAAACGCGTACTCAATTTCTATTCTGGTGAGAAATGTATAACTAAAAAAAACAATACGTATTTTCAAAAATATAGCAGCGATTTTGGTGACATAATTGCAGCACAAAATTTCCAGTACGCATTTATGGCTATTGTGACACATGCCAGGCAATGATATACCGTAACCTTATTTTTACCTAATACGTATACTGTATGCGCATACAGTACATTCAAAATTACGTATAGTGAATCAATCAACTTACAGTATCAAGGAATGAGTGAAAATATTTATTTTGTTATTTTTATTTAAGGACTTTTCCCTAACATCAAAATTTAATGAAGTTTATACTGAGTTCCTTCTAATTAAATTTCTTTTCACAGGGAAATTCGACGTCTCTAAATTGCGGGTTGAATCTAATTCATCAGATATATCTTTATGACAAGGAAAATTATTTTTTAAATGCACATAGTAAATAATATTACAGAGGAGTGACAGGCAAGATGATATTAGTAAGAGAAACGGTAGTAGGTAGTATGTTACTACAAGTCTATAATAAATGACCTATTGATAGAAAATGTACACAATAATTAATAACGTCACGAATAATCGATCAATTACAAGAATAAGCAAGAATAAACATAGCTCACTTGAATAATTAAATACGGAATATTATTTAAAAAAATATTAGCATAGAATCCCCAAAGTATTTTTGGTAGCGCATTTTTAGAAAATGGAATGGGCCCTCCAAGGTTTAACCGAAAAATCAAAAGTGCCTTAATATCAACCATCGCACTAATAAGTAATATAAATCTGACTTTGGTGTTTCTATTAAACCATTTGAAAAATTTCGGATTGTGAATTCCCCGGAAGATGGCATATATAATTAAAGTGGTGTTCATAACTGGTGAAATTACTAGAAAGATTGCGCTTCAATTATTAAATGAAATAAAAAAAAGAGTTAATGATGGTGAATCGAGAATAATTTTTAAAAAGAAAGGGTACGCAATTATAATTACTGCTGTTAAAATTATACCTCGGTATAAAAAGGGATGGGATATCACGCGAATTTTCAGCAACGAAACAAACCACGAGAATAAAATGAATTGGGATTGTGCTGAACTGAAAGATGGCAAAATTTTTGCGCTGTTATTTTAAAAATTTTAAAAGTAAAAATCAATTGCCAATTTTCATAATCCATTGTTAAATGTACTGTAAATTCAAAATCTTACTCCAGGGTCCCTTTTTGGTGTCAATATAACAATTAAAGCGTATAATGTAACGGCCAAGAATGCACCGATTAATTTTACTTCATACGCCTCCCATAAGTTTGCTATGTCACATAAAATAAAATAAGAACTAAGAATTAGAGTTATGGAGGCACTGTAAAATAACTTACGATTCACTCGAAAGCCATAGCTTGAGTCCAGATCATTTGTCGCAAATCCCATGAAGATGTTGGTAATTTTCTTATTTATAATCATGGTGTTTAAATCAGAGAACACTCCTGAAACACTTCTTTCACTATCATTATCCGGCTTATTCACATAGACCGAAATTAAGATTTGTTCGGCGTTATTGTGCTGGTAGTTCCCGTTCGAATTTAGTCGAGATGATCGAACTGGAATCATACCAGCAAGTTCGTACAATAATTCAGTAATATACACCGACTTCTCTGTTCCGGGGAGTCTTAAGAATTTTTTTGTGGCATCCGAAGTAAGGCAAAGTATTCCATTTGTGCCATCTGTAAGGAAAGTGTCTCATTAGTTTTTCAAGCTCACTGTCGTTGTTAATATATTTGTAATCCTTACCACTTGTCTCGCTAGAATCGTCTGAATCGTTTAATTAATGTAGTATAAATATGTATACGGTATATAGATTCTTATCACAATATGTTATAAATAAGATATTACTTCTTACTGTAAGATACCAAATATGGCCTTTAATCCCATTTAAGGGCTGATGGTAAAGTCCACTCTTTACGAAACCATCACCCATTCGAATGTAATATCGTTCGCCAGGTTGATTAAATACACTGCTGATTACTTTTACCGTAACTGTCCTTAAATCTGGACTGACGCTACAAAAGTTATTCAATATTCCGGAAACCTTTTGTCGAAGATTGCCGGTACTAGAGTGATAGATAGAAACGCTTGCGTTCGACAGGTAAACAGGATCATTGAAAGTGATGCTGACGTTGATGGCGGTAAATGGTTCGACAAATTCATTAATCGCCGGACTAGTAGAATTTATCTCTAGGTTATCATAACTGTTGCCTAAATAAATAAAGGTAAAATGATAAGGTTATACTGTATACAGTAAAACGTTAATAAAAACGAACGTAAGCTTACCCAAATAGTAAAAAGCTTTAGGTAACAGGTAAGTATACAAATTCCAAGAAGAGTTTTTTCCGGGTAAACCGAGCAATAAAGTATTATTATTCGTAATATCATTTGCACCAAATTGATTTGTAATAACCGTCAGCTTTTGAATCAAAGTTTGATTTTCATTAAAAGCATAAATAGAAGAAGAATCGCTTTCACTGAGGATAAATATGTAGCCACCGGAAGGCATTATGCGTGCTTTCACTCTGGTGATGTTATTTTCAATATAATCATCTATCATCAGCCCGGTAGATACATTCACCACAGCTCCTGATGATAAGAAGGACACGCTTTGATAATATGTTTCTCCATTCGTTTGCAGACCAAATATACACGTCTGACTAATATCAACAGGTGTTTGATCGCAAAATGTGCGAACTATCGTTACAGAATCAAGAGGTGTTTCATATAGGATATAAGGAGAGGCGGTTTGATTTTGATTTGGGAGTAAAAACATGGCATAGATCACTTTTTTCGGTGCAAGCGGATTGATTTCAGTGATATCAAATAAGAATTCCGTAGAATAAATTATGCCATAACCCTCTTCGATGGTGGAGATTGCCGCATAGGAAACCACGTGCTCGCTCGTTTTTAACTTGATAACATCATTGGATAAAATCAATAATTTCCTGAAATTATTTCCACATTTTATACTTGATGTTATACGTACGTAAAGAAAAGAAAAGACGGTTAGTATAAAAAAAAAAAAAAAAAAAAAAATCAGAAGTTGACAATATATTGGAAATTAAATTACGTCGAATATTTTTGCCACTCTAAATATGTGCTATTTATGGCCGCTATCCTAATAAAGCCTGTTTTTCCATTCGTATTCACAGCGATTTTATAATTTGGAATCCAATTATATGTATTCGATGGTCCAAATCTTAATCCTCTATACCGTAATAAAATCACTAAGTATTAGTAATTCCACATAAAATCAAAACCTTTGTGACACGTGAGAGATTATTACCTCGAGAACTTTCCTGACCAATGTATGATGATTCCCCAATCCTCATAGGTTACAAAATCAGAAGAATCTGCAATTTCTCGATAACACACTAGGATGTATCCTTCTTGTAGTGGAAATATTCGAATGAGATTTACATTAGAATCAGGAAAACCACTTTTAAACGGGCAATAATTCAATGAATTCATGTTTAACGCTGTATTATTGATATTGATCTCTGCAACGGCTCCGTTTAAATGAATGACTCTTAACGATAGCATCTGTTCTACGCAAAACCTATCCTTTACGCTTGGATCCTGTCGCACGACACGGATGAGCACTGTACCATCATCATAGGTTTTAATGTCCGTTATTTCGGGAGCCACATCAGGAAAGTTTGTTTTTGATGTCTCGATGTAGGTAAAGTTTTTAAAATTTTGCGATATCGCTCGATCCGTGATCAAAAAAAGAAATACAAGTAATCGACATAATATGATGAGGTCATTAAAATATTTCTTCATGGCAAGTTACTGTATTTCTGAGGAAATATAGACTCGTGAATGATTATTTTACATGATGCACGCTTTATAAATAATTTCCTCCATATTATGAAGGATAAATTCATAGTTCGTTCAAAGTTTGTTTTCATACATTAGTGTGCAAAATTTCAATAATGCAAGACTCTGCGTTTACCTATTACTGATGGGACTGATTCCAATTTTGCAAGATGATCATGAATTGTGAAAATGAACTTACAGATTTTGAACATTGAGAAATTGGTAGAACATAAAAAGGCAGACATAATACCATTGAAGTAATATCAATATATCTGTAATAAAATTGCGAAACAATATTTCTTTTGGTTCATTAAAAACGCATGACTACAAGATGCCAGTAAACATTTATGTGGAAAGTGAAATATGGGTAATTATTTTCGAAGGCGGACAGGATTTATTTTTGGCACTACAATTGTGATTCAAAAATTTACATTGTATACGTATTGTTCAAAGGTCGGGATCGAAAAAATCATACCTAGCATTTTTATTGCCTTCAAAAGTAATTAATTATATACAAAAAATCATGAAATTTAATCGGTCCGATTATTGTAAAGCCGTTAAAGTATTTTGCCTAGTGTGGACGTTTTATAGTGTACCAATACGTATAAGAATGTCGCTGCACGGATTCTAAAAATTTTATCTCATGCATTATGAAAACCAAATTTCGTCCTAATTTGGTTGACATATCCGATGCGAAGGTTTAAGTAACACGATCAAAATACTTGCAAATAAATCTAAACATGCTTACGTTTTGCCATGAAAAAGTGTAGAATGATTTCATAATTATAAATGGTTCTCCGTCATTTGTGCATCACCCCACATGCAAGAGCTCCTGTATTGTACGAGTAACTACTGTATCGATGAAGGTCACACGAATATTTAAATTGGTTATCAATTTTTCGGATATGTACCTGTCAATAAATTACTGGATCGGAAAAGCCTCCTTTGATATTTTAGCAATCTAATATGCATTTGACATTGCATATACTGTATACGTACAGTATATTCTATAGAAAGTTTATCTTATAAATTAAAGAATTTTTTATTAGTATTGAAAATTTATTGCAAAATGATACGTAAAATGATCTACTAGGAAAAATCGCGTTTCATAATCTTTTCGAATATGCAATAATCGTATACCGTATAATATGA